CGAACAATGTTCATGGATAAGAAAATAATGGATAATTGCATAAAATCAATGATTATGCGTACTGTAACATCTTAATGCCAATTCGTTAACTTGTATGAAAAAAAGGTTCTTAGGTAAAGCATTTACATAAAAAAAGCGTTTAAATCTTTAAAATAAAAAAAAAATTACGTTGGATTTTTTTTTCTTTTTTGATAGAAAGTTTTTGGATTAAGTCTATCAACACTATCAATTTATAATCTATAAAGTCTAAAGAACTGATAGTTTTCAGATTTATTTATGAAATATTTTCGCTTGCTCGTAAATACTTGTTAGCTAATTCGGTTAACAAATACTGCATCAAAAATGGTTACAGAGAGTTTTTATGATTACATTATTGGGAACCGACGGAAATATTTATAAATATCTGTGTTTTGAATGTTTTTTCAAACTCATATAAACAGTATTTCTTATGTGTTATTCTATTAAATAAGCCTATCTTGTGGAAAACCAACTTTTGGAATGTTTTCCGTAGAGTATTCAAGTATTTAAAAAACATCTAAAAATACACTCAACATTGTAAACCCTATCTCAAAATTAAACACAACAATTCTATACATACAGTATATAGCAATGGGGGATATTTGTAACATTGGGAGTAGGAAAATACATACAATGAAAGCGTGAGGTTCTATCTACATACAGTATTGTTACATTACGGTAAGATATCACATATACATATCGTTGTTGGCAAGCATGGGCGGCGACATATAACACTTACACCAACATTGTAAACAAAAATATTTTAACACAGGTTGGCCATACAATGTGCAAGTAAAAGTAGGGAAGGAAACAAAAAATAATAAATTTGATGTAAAGTAAAATAATAATAATGATATAATATTATGCTTCATTTCATCATGTGTCTCCTGACATGTACTGTCTGGCCTCACGCCTTCTAGTCACTTAGTCTTTAGTGAGTCGGATAATAATAATTTTCTGTATGGACATTATTCATCTTAAATTTTTCATCAGTCAGGCTAATCATAGACTTCGGGTACTGTCATGGTTTTGGAATTACACGTACGTTGATGTGTTCATTCAAGTCCGGTTATGTAAGTGCGGTGAAGTTTAGTTGAATGAAGGGGTTCCTCTCATTTCAGGGCTGATTTTACAGTTTACGCTTCTATATTTAGTAGTTTGCCAAATACCAAAGTTAAAAAAAAAATAGTTTTTTCACCACACTATGATGTTTTTAGCTGTTTTACATACGTCAATTGGTGGCTAAAAGTTACGTTTTGCTGGCCATGTTAGCTGGCATCGTCATTTGGGGACCGAGCAGGTTTTAACATCCTTAGGGCCGCAAAATCAGCTGCCCGCTTACTTTCTTAAAACATGAATGCATATTAAATATACAATCAGTAACCATAGCATTGCAATAAATTGTTATATTGTCACCGCTGCCATAGACTAAGCCGCTGCATAGCAACTATTTATTAGCGATTTTCCGTATAGGGAAGTAGCTATTACCGTAGGTCTCATGGTAAGAACTAAGCCCGGGACCGATTTACTTTTTCATTTTGATGTCCCCAGAGGCCAAAAACACCATTCGTTCAAATTTTTTTATATCTATATATATATATATATATATATATGTGTGTGTGTGTGTGTGTGTGTCCATCCGCACGATAACTTGAGTAATTTTTGTCCGATTTTGATAAAATTTGGTTTGAAGGTGTAAGGCGGGATAAACTTGAATGAGTTCGCGAACCAGCATGATCGGACTATGGGAAGGGGGGTTTATGGGGGGTTTTATGGGGTAAAAATAGGTTTTTCCCATTTTTGACCCTAAAAACACAAAATTTCACAATTTCTTTTTAAACCATTTTGTAGAGCTTAAAAAAACAAATAATTTAGTATATTGAAGCGTTAGTATGCGCCTTATTGTTACGGAGAAAATTCAAAGAAATTGTAATTTTGAAATTCCCATGATATTCTTATGGAGAATAAGTCAACTGTTGTAGTTTGCTTGTTTATAAACATATTTTGATCAAATTTGGAAAATACATTAATTTCTTACTAAACCGCAGTATCTTTTAACATTTTACATAAAAAAATATTTTTTACCCTCCCTGTTGCAGCAAACCTAAGTACTCATTAAACTAATTCTGTTTAAATAGGGAATAAATGTGATATTTTTAAGGAGACATTTTAGTTTAAATCCAATCAGGCAAATGGAAATTCGCTAAGTCTGCATGTTTGGTGCGGCGGGGGTATTATTATTTTTGCTGATTCCTCAAATTATTTCTTCGCACAAACTTAAAGTTGTAGTTCTATTGACTATCAGTGTGCATTATTATTGTGGTGAATAGTGGTATAGGGTATAGTGTGGTGAAAAATAGCGTTAGTACCACGGATCGAAATGGTTTTGCAGCTCTCGATATAGTTTCGAGACGAAGTCAAGGACTTAAAACAATCAACCGTAAAACCTCATTTTCGGCCATAGTAACGAATTATACTATTTAGTAAAAGTTTTCAGGCTAAAAATATGAAATCAGCTGATTTAAAGTTAAATTCTGTGCATAAATATCAACTTCACAATATTTATCAAACTTTTTCAATCACTTAGCATTAGTGGTTACTTCAAATGCGTTTGTGAAGCTCAGAAAGTGTTAATATCACTAGATTTTGTCGTACGATGAAATCTTATGCGTACCTAAGCCTTAAGTTAACATTTTACTTAAATTGCAATAGTTATTTGTGCAACTAGTGAGAAAAGTGAGCAATTGACTCACTCGAGAGAAATCCTTACTCACGAGCCGTAGGCGAGTGAGGAATGGTTTCTTGAGTGAGGCAATTGTACTTTGAACTCGAGTTGCACATTATACTTTTCCTACAGTTACCACAAAACAAATAAATTTGTGAAGAAACATAACCTATTTTTACGCAGAAGTGAACTTTTAATATAACATTTAATGTGAAGTGACAAATACAACAGTACAACACCTGACCAGCTGATTTACAGCCAGTGCTGCCAACGTATTTCGCGCGCATACGACGTTGCCTGCATGTTACGCGCTCACTATTTCGTGCCTTCACGTTGCAAATCTGGAGTGAGACAAAGTAATTAGAGTGAGACAATGTTAACATTGTCTCACTGATGAGCGAATTGGCCACTTTGCTTTCTCAAATCAGTGAGAGAACATGTACATTGTTAGGTAACTGTAGGAAAAATGTATTACTTTAAAGACACTCAGTATATAAAGTACTTTCGACTATGAAAAACGTCAGTTTAAAACACCAGTTTATAGGTTAACATTATTTCGTAAAAGATATCAAATTGGCAATATGTTGTTGTCGGTTCGTACCACGGTGTCAACACTTAATATTTATTGATTTATTTCATCATTTATTTTACTGGCTCACCTCTTCTCTGCTTTACGTTTGAGGTATATATAAATGGACAAAAGCAAGGTTGGAAGAGACTGTCAGCTTGTTTTATAAGAAACATTGTTTCGATTTCAGGGTAACATATGCAATCTTTTAATATAGAAACTGAATAAAAGTTTGTGCACGTTGATAATATAACTAATTGCGTATAATACCTAAAGCACCATCGGGTGAGGACGGTATTTAAGGTATGGTTTTGATTTTAGCATACATTCAACATACATGTTAAGGTGATACGACATGCTAGGACACGAAGCGTTGGTGACTTTAGGCGATTTTGATTTGTATATACATTTAGTGAACTATTATACAGATTTCTTTAATATTGTTTTATTCTCTTGTTATGTTTTGTTATGTATTGTTATGTTATCAAAATGCTTGTTTTTTTTACCTAAAATGTTCAAGATGTATTTACTTTTTAGAGGTTTAAGTTATTTCCATCAAAGCTCAATTTTTTTTGTGATTTAAATTTTATTGGCATTCAAACACGAAACGGCCCAAGACCTGGTCATTTTACCATCAACATCAATATTTTGATTTTATACGATAGCTTCATTGATTGATAGTCCAATGGGGAATTACTATTGGTCTAGAACCAATTCCGCCTGGAATCGGACTAGCGACCTTTAGATTTGAATGTAACCATTATAATCCCTATATTTATGAAATGTATGACAGTTGTTAGCCTAAAAGGGAGTATGTTTTATCTAGACCTAAATGCAATTTGCCTGCTAACTATCCATGAGCCATCAACTGTTGCGAAATTTTTTTTACGATTAAAATACTTTTACTCGTAGAAAACTTCTAGCTAACTACAGTAGTTTTCACATTTTAAATTGATTGCACAACACAATACTGATCATAATAATTTTTTTTTTCATGACTGACAGTAAATCTAATAGCCTAAAATCACCGTTGCAATAGTTGAAATGGTCCCACCTCCTGGACTATCACAGAGCATTAACCTCAATAACGAGATTTCAACATGATTTCATGCAATATAACATAAAACATCCTAGCTAAATACATTACTGGCTAAATAAATCATTAAATAGCTCAAAACTACTTCAGTGGCATGTTTTTTTATGCAAAAGGTTTTAAAAGTTTGTATTTGATTTTTTATAGTATGTTAAGTGATTGGAAAATAGTGTACACAGCAAAAGAGACCTAAGCAGTTCATGGATTGGTAGATCGTTATACAACTTAGATATATCTCCAATCCCTACATCGTTTTCTGTCTACGTCCATATTTGTGATTAGTCAAGAGCATCAAAAAGTAGACTAAATTATATAGGTATTATATATTGTGTGTTCGAATGACAATTACAAAAATATCCATGTAAAATATGTTTATCTAAAGTTTACGATTTTGTCTTACACTTGTTTTAAACTCTATTCTAAACGGTTTTATTATTATTTATTCAATATTTTGTTTAATTAAATGCATGATATTGAACTACAATTGACACAATACCTTAATGGTTTTCTAGGAACTATCGATGCAAATTTACCCTGCAAGTGTTAAACATGAAATGCATTAAACACTAAGAAAAACTATGCTATCCATTGTAGGTACAAAAATATGTTTTCGTACTATTATATACACAATCTTTAAGCTGTTCAAGTTCCACTGAAGTACTTTTGATACATTGTCACATTTATTGTCACGACATCTATTTTATGTGGACACAAAAACGGTGAGTTTACTTACACAAATAGATACAAAATATACATCTATGACATATCTATGAATCAATATTAGTATATAACTAGTATTGGCTGTTAATGAAGATTAAATTGGTTTAGTTATTGAACATTTTCTTTCACTAAGAGAAATTTTAAGTTGTTATATTTTCTTTACAAAGAATACATCAAACATCACAATAACGTAGGCACTTTTCTGTATTATAACACTTTAGGTTGAACACCAACAATATGTACGCGTTAAGATATATTCACTCTGTAGCATATTTTTCTTTTAAAATGTTTATAAGAATGTACTGCCTAATGTTTTAGATCTGGAATTACAACTGAATTAATTCCCTTGTAATATTTTAGCATAGTTTTTACTTAGCATGTTTACTATTTTATTACTATTAATAGTACAAAATAAAAATTACATAATTTGCATCCATCGAAGACCTTTTTAGAGCTCTACTACATCTAAGAGATCTTTGTAAGAGATAATTTTTATGTTTTAGGTTTACAATTACACTCTCCTTGAATTGGTTATTTTACACACCGATTCTTTTTACCATACTAGGTATTTTTTTTATAATGGGTTTATCATGTAGAATATTTCCCTGTTCTCTTATAGGCATAGGCTACCTATTTACTAAGCTAGCTGTAGTATAAAAGATTAATTTTTGTGGTGCAAACATTTTGTTTTGCTCAGGATCACAAAAAAATAGGGACAGTACTAGCAACATACAGATAAAAATAATGACCAAACAATTCAGATTCCATTTGATCACTCTGAAATTTGTTGAGTTGCCCTGATATACAAATATTTTAGATCAAAGTTACAAGACATATTTCGTTGGAGAAAATATAATATATCAGGGAACCGTTAAATTCTTACAATTTCTTGGGGGAGGGAATATAGTTGCCACTTTTAAAATTGGAAGTGTTCGATACAAAACAACTTACTTGCCCCCAAAAAGGTTGGTTTAGTGAACCCAATAACATTTCAAGGAGTTAAAATGGAAATTCGAGTCTTCTTCATAAGGGTGAAATGTAACGCATCTAAAGATCATCCTAGTAATGGGGTACCTAACTAACAAAGGATATCAATATCTCTTTGTTACTATATTAGCTGTTGATTTTGTACTTTATGCTCAACTTTATAAATTAGTAAAATATTTTTAGGTAATACAATAATCATTCTAATAACTTACAGTTATCAACAAATCTTGAGTTGTGAGTACCATCATAGTGTGATTAAGATTTAATAAATTGTGCTGTATTTTTTGGTATTTAAATATTAGGCATACGTTGGTAACTAGCTTTTACCGTCATCACCAGAACTATCCGCAGCCAATATTGTTCATTAACATGACTTTTGGGTACACATTCATTACATTGCTACGTACATATATGGTTTACATTTAGGTTGTAGACAATTAGTGTAGAGTGTGCCCATGTATATTGTCCCGGATACAACAATCATCACATGAAACATGACATGAACCACAGCTGTATAAATATGGTGTTGACTAAGCGTACAGTAGACATTGACACAGTCAAGAAGCACGAATCGCTCATTTCACACTCGCTCGTCACTTGTATATTCCCCATTTTATAACTACTCGCCTTTTTCTTTATACTGTAGGAAAAATGACTGTTGTCAATACATGATTTGAAGGGTAAGAGTAATTCTTTCAAATCTACGGGAAAAATAATTAGCTGAATTATAATGAATGTGTATATTTAACTCGATGTATTATGTGGTACAGTTAGGTGATTTTTATTACTAAAATAGATCAGATTAAAAGCTATTTTGATATCGTTAAATGAGTGACTATCATTGTCTAACCATGTATATTTGACTACGATGAAACCCCCTTTGTCAATATTTAGTCGGTTTGAAACGTAGAGATTTGCCAGTTATTTATACTTAAAATCCTTTTTGTAATGGCGGAGTAATATGTGATACTTTTTACTCTCCCAAGAACCAAATAGTTGAATATGTCAGTTCCAGATGTTTTCTTATGTAACCAAACAAGACGATCTCATTTTTGTGAGATGTGTGAGCTAACTAAAAAAGTTTCAAGTGCATTTGTTAGTTTAAATATTTGATGCAATATAACGAAAAATACAGTTAATTGCAGGGGCAAAGGGTATTTCCAATTTTATTTATTGTAACTAGTGGATAAAATGTTTGAATAAGAATTTTGTGTCCAACTATTGGTTTTGTTGAAATAAATCGAAGTAATTATCATTTTCCCCAAAAAAGGTTTAATTCAAAAGGTTCTCTTATAAGCTGGTAACGAAACATAAAAAATTAATACATTCCAGGCATTTAGAACCAACCCTAACTTTGCAAAACGCATTTCAAAGCTCCCGAGGCAGTGTGACAGAGCAATTAATGCTTCTAAACAAACATCGCACATAAAGGAAACACCGCACGGGGACGTTAATTTATCAGTCGATTACTCAAGCCACACTTAAATGTTAAGATCACAACTCGTACACATCCCTGCCGTTAGGTCTAGTCCTCGTGGCCGCCCCTCGCTTACCAGGGGACTTGGCTGTGTCTCTATTAGCTCTCTGGGGGCTGGTGTAGGAATACATGTTGTACCCAGGGATGATGTGGACTCTGACGTCTCCCGTGGGCCTAACTGCTTCAGGACGAGACCTCCTGGAGAACGTGACTGTAGTCTTGCAGCAGCAGTAGTGGAACAGGTTGATGTAGGCGTTCCTGAAGTGGCGGTTACAAGCGGCGTAGAGGATGTTGTTGACGCAAGACTTGCTGAGCGCGAGCCACGCCAGGTTGTAGAACAGGAGAGCGGAGATCTTCCTGGTCGACGCGAGGCAGAGGATAATACCGAAGGGCAGCCAGAAGGCGAAGAAGCAAAAGAAGCTGTACATGTTGGTCTTCATTAGAGAGTAGTCCCAGTTGAAAGCCATGGGCGGCTTGAAGTTCGGGTTGGATCGGGCTAGACGGACTTGCATGATGATTCTGCAATTGAGGTCATAGGGTATTAGAACAAAATAAGGAAAATTGGAACGAAAGTACGTATTTTTCCAAGTTGTTTTTAAGAAATTGGGTGCAATATATATTACTCTACCAGATTTTTTTTCAAAAATATTAGGTCAAGCTGCCCTTGTCACTGGACTCCTCACTAAGAATCGTCTCTATGAAATATTTGGAGGGTTTGATAGAGAAATGACATTTTTTACAGAATTAAATAGCATCTAAAAAGTACTGTTTCTGTTTTCCCTCAGATTTAAGTTATATTCTCCAAGCCACATTTCTACTTGCCTAACCTCTCCTTCGGCATCTGCACAATACCTGAGAGGAAGACAAAGTATTCAACAGGTTCACTATCGGCCGTCACTCTCCTCTGTATGTAGTCTCCAGACACCCGGTAGGTAATGAATTGGTTAAACAAGTTGTTGTGTCTTTCCAGACATAGCTGTCATACGTCATGATAATCAGTTCTCGCCACATCTCAGTTCTCTCACATTTTCCCCTCCTTCGTCTTGTTGTCTTACCTAAAGTACAGCGCGAGAGTAATTAACCCCGGCAGTATCACACACATGACTGCCGTCAGTGCCTGGTAGGGGAGAATTTTGGACGTCATGGTACTGCAGTAGTCAGGCAGCAAGTCGTAGTAAAACTGAAACATCAACCATACTTTAGAGTTTGAACTTATCAAAAAAGCATCCAGAGAGGATTATACTAGTAGTACGCTTATTCTGCGCGTAACGGGATGAGTGAACATGAGCGCAGTAATGAAAGAGTCCACCCACACCTAGCCTACTTACCGGTGTCACTGGTGAACACAATGTTATTTGTATGGGCAAACCAACCAAATCTTAGTCAACAACAATCCTAACTTCTCATCCATTAATTAACCAAAGTCATTGGTAATATACGTAATGGATTTCCAACAGTTATCGATAGGAGGTAAACCCATCGTTCATGTACAACATGTCTTTTGATTAAATGAAGCCTATTTCCATATTTGTTATGAGGCCTATCATAAACAAAACTAAGCCAAACTGAACTAATCTAACTTAACCTAATTGCCAAAGCTCGGTGTAAGGAATCTCCTAAAAAATATCGTATGGCTTACAATGATGATTTAAAACAATATCGTAATTATATCATCTAAAAATGATTAAAAATTCAATATATGTTTATATAACTAATGAAGGGTTCCCACACTCCGGACTGCTCGCCTCAACTACTTCCACCACCACTTCCTACGTCGTAAACATGTTTCCCTCCCTTCCTATGGCATTTTAGTATTGCAGGTACATTAACCTAACTGTCACAAAGGGTCCCCACACTCCGGACTGCTGGCCTCAACTACAGTACTTCCATCACCACTTCCTACGTCGTAAATATGTTTCCCTCCCTTCCTATGACATTTTAGTATTGCAGGTACATTAACCTAACTGTCACAAAGGGTCCCCACACTCTGGACTGCTCGCCTCAACTACTTCCATCACCACTTCATACGTTGTAAACATGTTTCCCTCCCTTCCTATGGCATTTTAGTATTGCAGGTACATTAACCTAACTGTCACAAAGAGTCCCCACACTCCGGACTGCTCGCCTCAACTACTTCCACCAACACTTCCTACGTCGTAAACATGTTTCCCTCCCTTCCTATGGCATTTTAGTATTGCAGGTACATTAACCTAACTGTCACAAAGGGTCCCCACACTCCAGACTGCTCGCCTCAACTACTTCAATCACCACTTCCTACGTCGTAAACATGTTTCCCTCCCTTCCTATGGCATTTTAGTATTGCAGGGTACATTAACTCAACTGTCACAAAGGGTCCCCACACTCAACTACAGTACTTCCATCACTACTTCCTACGTCGTGGATCTGTTTCCCTCCCTTGCTTTAGCATTTTTTTATTGCAGATCCATTAATCTAACTGTCACAACGGGTTCCCACACTCCGGACTGCTCGCCTTGAATACTTCCTTCACCACTTCTTACGTCGTGGACCTGTTTCCCTCCCTTCCTTTAGCATTTTTTTATTACAGATCCATTAATCGAACTGTCACAACGGGTTTCCACCCTCCGGACTGCTCGCCTTTTGGATACTCCCTTCACCACTTCCTACGTCGTGTACTTGTTTCCCTCCCTTCCTTTAGCATTTTTACTATTGCAGATACATTAATCTAACTGTCACAAAGGGTTCCCTCACTCCGGACTGCTCGCCTTGACTACTTCCTTCGCCACTTCCTACGTCGTGGACCTGTTTCCCTCCCTTCCTTTAGCATTTTATTATTGCAGATACGTTAATCTAACTGTCACAAAGGGTTCCCACACTCCGGACTGCTCGCCTTGACTACTTCCTTCACCACTTCCTACGTCGTAGACCTGTTTCCCTCCCTTCCTTTAGCATTTTATTATTCCACATACATTAATCTAACTGTCACAAAGGGTTTCCACACTCCGGACTGCTCGCCTTGACTACTTCCTTCACCACTTCCTACGTCGTGGACCTGTTTCCCTCCCTTCCTTTAGCATTTTATTATGGCAGATATATTAATCTAACTGTCACAAAGAGTTCCCACACTCCGGACTGCTCGCCTTGACTACTTCCTTCACCACTTCCTACGTCGTGGACCTGTTTCCCTCCCTTCCTTTAGCATTTTTTTATTACAGATCCATTAATCGAACTGTCACAACGGGTTTCCACCCTCCGGACTGTTCGCCTTGACTACTTCCTTCACCACTTCCTACGTCGTGTACCTGTTTCCCTCCCTTCCTTTAGCATTTTTACTATTGCAGATACATTAATCTAACTGTCACAAAGGGTTCCCTCACTCCGGACTGCTCGCCTTGACTACTTCCTTCGCCACTTCCTACGTCGTGGACCTGTTTCCCTCCCTTCCTTTAGCATTTTTTTATTACAGATCCATTAATCTAACTGTCACAACGGTTTCCCACCCCCGGACTGCTCGCCTTGACTACTTCCTTCACCACTTCTTACGTCGTGGACATGTTTCCCTACCTTCCTTTAGCATTTTATAATTGCAGATACATTAATCTAACTGTCACAAAGGGTTCCCACACTCCGGACTGCTCGCCTTGACTACTTCCTTCACCACTTCCTACGTCGTGGACCTGTTTCCCTCCCTTCCTTTAGAATTTGTTTTTATTACAGATCCATTAATCTAACTGTCACAACGGGTTCCCACACTCCGGACTGCTCACCTTGACTACTTCCTTCACCACTTCCTACGTCGTGGACCTATTTCCCTCCCTTCCCATAGCATTTTTAGAAATGCAGATACATTATTCTAACTGTCACAAAGGGTTCCCACGCTCCGGAATGGCCGCCTCGACTACTTCCTTAACCACCTCCTACGTCGTGGACCTGTTTCTCTCCCTTCCCAAAGGTTTTTAGAATTGTAGATATACATTATTATAACTGTCACAAAGGCTTTCCACACTCCGAAGCGTTCGCCTCGACTACTTCCTTCACTACTACTTCCTACATCGTAGACCTGTTTCCCTCTCTTTCCATAGCATTTAAGTTTTACAGATATATTAATTTAACAGTGACAAAGTATTTCCACACTCCGCACTGCTCACCTTTCCGCTTCCTTTAACACTCTCTACGTCGTGGACCTGTTGCCCCCCCGCCTCTTCGCATAGCAATTTAGTATTACAGTACTAACATCTTTGAATATTTAATATTCAATGCCAACATTAAATTGAATAATGTAAAAAGCTGCTTTGTTCTAAATATACATATATATTTTTAGTTTAAAGGTGAATTTTAATACTGAACATAAACGGTATATAACTGCCGATTAATATTGTAAAGTTCAATTTATTATTCAGAAAGTTGTGAAATTTAATTAACTTAAACAACATTATTCTGAAACCTGTGAAATTATAATGATATATATTCATAGACGCCAAACTGTTTACTCCATGAATGAAAGAGCTTAGAGTAAATGTCGTTCTCTCTGTCTTAAGTAGACAACAAAATTGTTGGTCGCAAAACGTAAACAAATAAAAAGAAGAAGAAGGTAGCTCCTAATGTTATTCTTATGGGACAAATTCAAAAATGTTTTTTAAGGGTTTTATAATTACTACTGAGCGGAATCGTCTAGAATTTTAATGAGGTCTTCCCACTGGTGTCATAATTATTTGTGCAAAATTTGAACGCTATAAGTGCGACGGTTCTTGAGTTTTTGGTGCGAACACACACACAGATAGACAGACAGACAAGCGGACAACTTTTCTCCGACTCCGCTATACACGATACATAGATTAGTTCACTTCGTTCACTCATCTATTAAAACAGATTGTTGAGGGGAAATCCTAATGAATACATGAATTACAATATTTAAACCAGTTGGAGGATCTTTTTGATGCTACGTTTTAGCTGCAATAATCTGGATTATTATGTTTCGAAAGCAATAAGGCTGTATTATACCTATGTCCCCTTGTAACAAATCTTTAAACACATAGATACTTTTAAAGAAATGTTCGACAGCCAACATTGAATTCGCACTCGTTTCTGGATATTTCCAACATGAATTCGTTTGTTGCCATAGTCTTTATGCGCAAGGAGTGTGTGAGTTACATTAATTACGGTGTTCATAATGATTAATAGTCAAATGGATGGGCTATTCTGCGGGAGCTAACAAAGAATGTCATTCCATGTACCTTATCCTCGTGTTTCATCGCATCATGACATTTAAACGTCATGGAAGAATGTTTCTGACATTTTTCGGCAATTCATATTTTTAGTTTACATAAAAGTACAATTCAGGAACTCAGCAAACAATATCTTCCCGTATCCTTCGTCCTTGTGTTTCTTAGCTTCATGCGGGATATAAACGTCTGAAAGAACGACTCGGTGATTTTTCGGCATTTAAACTTTAATCTTTGCACAAATTCACTGAGATAATTCTGCGCAAAAGGAGAGTATTTTTAAGTACTTCTTATATTACCTATTAAACTCTACACTACCTGAAGGGCTACCAAGACGGAGCTGACTACCCAGATGCCAAACATGATGAGGGTGATGAACTCATTGGTGAGCAGGGAGTAGCAATGAGGTGACAGACACAGACGAGCGTAGTTCTCTGCCGCCGTGGCGAGCAACGAGAGGATGGTGACAAGCCAGCAGACGATGGACAGAAGCCACTGGATACTGCAGACGGTTTCCAGCGGGGAGTCCTTGATGCCTGCTAGGATCACAATGGCTGAAGCAGGCATCACGACTCCCACCACCATCAGATCTGCCAGGGCGACGTTGATCAGGAATGTGTTGCCTGAGGTCAAAAATATGCCTCATTAGATAAAATACGGATACATATTTATAGAACATTAATTGATGTATTGTGGTCGTATTTTATCCCAAATATGAATGCAGAGTGAGTAGAATGGTGTGAGATTATCTGTGTAGTAGACGGTTGATCTGTGTAGTAGCCAAGTATGAAATAGGATGTATCAAATGTGCTTTAGTTTACAATAAGGTTATTTCAGTTCGCATTACTGTTTGTTCATAAACAGAAAAATGTTACCTCCTTCAGAAGAGTTTGTTGGAGGTTCAATTAAACTGAATAATTTTATTTTAAAACCAGTTATAGCTTCAACATCCACCGATGTTTAAACTATACCCTCCCTTCAAGCTCTGGGCCCAATAGGCGAGCTCAACATGAGTAAAGTTGAACACCAGACTTTACCAAGATAAAACTCGACTTAAACAATTAAGGGATTATCTGTTGTGTCTTCTCCTGGCCTTACCTCTTGGTCTTGCCTGGTGGTCACCAAACTAACATGTTTAACAAAAAGCCCTATGAAACCATTCCAAATTGACTGCTGGTTGAAATACCTGTGAAGCTTATAGCATTTTTTAGTTTCACTGGCATAGTTAGGGGAAGTTTAATTAGAACTTCAACACGAATATAGCCTACTTCACAGTAGTACATCCATGAGTCAAAGGTGTGTATAGCGAAGCTTCACTGAGGGCAAACAACGCGGCTATTTCTGATCAGGTGGGCGGCTGAAACAGCAATATTTCCTATGGAAACATATTAATAACTCTGTATGGATGGAGGCCAAACGCTTACAATAGGACACCATCCGGCCTGTCAATACATAGGTGAGGCGACTGTTCCAACATTGTAGCTAAAATATGTTTGGAGAGAACACGTCAGCTTGGAGTAGTGTTCAAACTGAAGTAACGAGCATCGTATTGAGTATATCAATCAATTATATCAATTGTTTAAGATGGGGACGCCACTATGTAGGTATTGTAACCCAAATATGAGTAACGGATGAGTGTAAGATGAGTAGTGCGATGTTGTAGTCTTGTTCGTGACTAAGGCCGACATATTCCTTTGACACAGCTGTAAATTGATAGCCCAAACAGCTAATGCTATGTAATAGTATGTAATGTATGTGGCATACTAGCTAACTTGTGATAGAACTGGTTCGTATTACCTGGAATAATGAATAAGGTATACGATATGCAACGCGGACTACCTTTTCGATTAGCTTGCAATTTTAAACATCTCAACATTGGTCATATAGGTTAAAAACTATACAAACGAAAGAATTATAGCAGCTGCAAGCTTAAACATTAACTAGCCAGCCATATTTTATACGATTAACAGGCTATTAACAGTAAGAATATAACAAAACAATCTCGGCTCCAGTGTACTTTTAGCGTAATACATCTATAGTTCGTGTAAAAATTGAGTCTGATCTTTGTGTTTAAATTGTTTAAAATATTTAATTCGACTGTTCAATTATTACAAAAGCACCTTACTTAGAGTAAGAGAAAACATGTTGTGGCGTTTAGATGTATTTTATCCACGCCAATTATGTTCAACAGCTATCCACAGTTTCGCATTTCAACAATTAATTATTGTTCGTCCAAGAGTGAAATAATCGTACAGGATCATAACAATGCCAAAATAATAATCCTCTGTTACTATGATTATAAAAATCCACAGTTGTAATCTTGCAGACTATTGTGCAGCTATGAGGTTACAATCGCACTAAAAACTCATCAATCGAGCTATCGAGTATATTACAGAAACCATTAAAGTTATATTAAATTCTTTATCATGATGATTAACCCAATTTAATTACAAATACTCATTACGGATATCAAACTATTGGTAAGGAAAGTTCTTAACGAGAGCTGGGAACTATTACTGGAATTGCGCGACTCAAAACTTCGAACAAACTGCTTATAAGTACACTTGGAAACTTCTACAAAACTACGACAGAGAGGTTGATGAAGGGTTATCATTTTAAATATGCTCGGTACTTCTACAATAGCATAAAACATAAATCTCAAGGCCTATAACTTGTAGTTAAATATACTGATACTTTTTATTTTTAGTCATTTGAATGGCCACGATCTCTTCAATCATCGCTTTAGTTTTATTTTGTATCGTATTAACATTAAAAGAGATACATTCAGAAAGTCGAGGACTAAGCATTAAAATAGGAGTTAATAGAGCTTATAAACTGTAGGGGATATTTGATTAATGGTATTTATATTTTATTTAGAATGAGAAAAACCAATAAAATCACGTTCATGCAAGAGAGTCTTGCCCGTATATTTTTCAAAGCTAATGATAACTGAGAAGTCGATTACAGTTAGTAGTGGTAAATTTTAAGTATCACAGATGTTTTCGATTACAATATTAAAGTAGGCTTCCTCTCTAAACTTGATCATGAATGTTGAAAATAGAAGCTATTGTAATAAAATAAATATCTGTAATGTTCTTAATGCTAATTTGATGTGCATTTCAAGTTGACTTTTGAGTGCAACTATTTTTTTTCTAATTGGGAAGTAATCCACAATTTTGCAGTGATTAATTTATTATATGGTTCGTTGATGAAAAAAAATATTTTACAAATCTTAGATTGTTGACATTGTCCTAATTTGGTCCGTAAAGATTACTAATCTATCAGTTAATCTTTATCTTGTGAAGGCTGTTTTTCTAAAAGATCCATTTTCACACTTTGACGTGCCATCCAACACTTCCTGCTGAGGTTTTCTCCGGAAGCCCCGCCCTGAAATCTAGCGTGCTTCAGTGCTGGAAATCACTGGGTATCGACTACCAAGCCATAAACCTGTAGCTTACTGATTCCTATACTGTAAAATTGCAGTCAGGACATTCAGGCTAGTTTTCATTCTTCCAGCTACAGAAGTAATCTTAATGTTTATTATGTTGCAATTGTATTCTTCCCAGTGTCACTCATTTTGTTGAAATTGACAATACCAACAAAACAAAATAACAGTAAACTACAATAAATTGATAAGGACAGCTGATCTTAGTCAGTAACAAAGCTACACAGGTCATCACACACCATTCTACACTCATGCTTCACTAATATTTGGGTTAAAATACGCACCTAGGTGGCGTCTCCATCTCAATGATTGATAATTGATAACTATTCTTAGTTGGTTTAAAAGTGAGAAAGATTTACAGCTAATGTCTTTGACTGCAGACCCTTTTAAACATTTTACCTTATAACTTCACAACTCATTACAAAGTTCCACACCTCAGGTATTGAAAAAAAAAATGTTTCGCTGCAGTCAGATGAATAAAATATTTTAACATAAAGTACATTGGTCATAAATTAAATAACTAAATAACCAAACGACTTAGAAACATGGGAATTGTTTAATTAAATAGCAAATTTAAAGCGGTTTTATAGCGTAACTAAGATAATTATAAAAATGTCAGTAATTATAAAAATTAGTCATAAAAAGTCTGAAAAAATCACCTAAAAAGTGATTGTAAGTTATGTTGTCTCCTCAATGACTTGTGTTGTGGCATAGTCAGCTGTCCAACAATGTACCTTTCTAGACCAGCTGAGTATGACTTTTGACGAATCAAACATTAAACTAACCTTAGTATCAAAATGACTAGTGTGAAAGAAAAAGCAAATTGTGTTCTTTGGTTTCATGGAAACAGATCTGTAATAGGCCTAATTGTTCGAAGAAAGCTCCGTTTAGAGTATGGCCGTAATTCTCCGAGTAAAAATTTTATAAAATTGCTCTACAGGGCACAGGCAGTTTCAACGAACGGGAAGTGTTTCATAATAGTCTAACAGGTCCTCAGAAGAAAACATAACTTATCAATAACGTTTAGGTGATTTTCCGAACTTTTTAAAATTACTTTTCATAATTAATTACTGAACTTTTTATAATTATTTTTTGCAGTTACTGGATAAAACTGCTTTAAATTTGCTATTCCCATGTTCCTAAGTTGCTTGGTTATTTATTTATCCAATCTCAAAACGCGTCCAACAATTTAAGACCACTCTGTATTACTGAATATTTTTTTGAGTTTTTCATTAATACTACAGTAGTTTTGTCTTGGTAGTCATTCCACCTGTTTATCACCGTCTGCAGTAGGCTATTACCCTCAAGGCGGCTGCAATTCGTCTCCGCCAGCTTGGCTATTTCCACCAACGCTACAACTTTATTGCTATTGTGTTATAAATAAGCCCGATTTATGGTCTTGCTCCAATTTCCTTACTTTTGTGGGTCGCAACTTTTGTTTGTGTAAACATTTTAAGCCTAACAGGGCCGTTCGTTTCTGCACTATTATTAAACTAATGTTGAAACTTGTTACAATGTTTTAAATTTTAGTTTAGATTTATAACCGCTTATGAATGATTCATAATAAATGTTTTGTAACGTTATATCTGCAAATATTATTTTCTAGTGATTACTTAGAAACATTATTTGGTAACTAGTGGTTCTTTTCTATCCCTACGTAGGCCCATTAAGGCAAAATTCCAAACAAGGCTCAACGAATCTAACCTTCGCATCCAACTAAAATGTCAAGGGTTATCTTCAAATAATTGTTTTACACACAATACATAATTTATTAGAAACTGACACAAGTATTCTGATTTTGGTAATTATATTGAAGTAACTCATCTATGATGTCATGCATAACTATGTTACAATTCATTAATTTATTATTGATAGGGTTTTTATAGTTCTTGCCTCCAAATCTAAATATTGCTGGTTGGTTTTGTTCAAAGAAAGTTCGATGCTTCACACAGTTTTCATTTTGTCATTAGACTATTAATTAATATTTTTCAACAAATAGTCAGCATTGGATTGACAGGATGTATATTTTAGGTGGTTAGGGTATAAACACCCCCTACTAATTCAACATTTTGCCTTTTATAGCACCTTCGATGACTTAGTCTATCATCTTGGCTATGGCTTTTGGTGAGTCATAGCAGTTTACTTAAAGTGGTTTAGATACCTGCATTTAAGTAATCG